ATGTTAAATAAATAGTAAAAAAAAAACCTACTGAACTGCACACTTCAAATAGGCATATTACATATATTTGAATTATATCTCAATAAAGCTATTTTTCTATTTTATTTATTTATTTGACAGAGAGAGAGATAGTGAGAGCAGGAACACAAGCAGGCAGAGTGGGAGAGGGAGAAGCAGGCTTCCCACGGAGCAGGGAGCCTGATGCGGGGCTCAATCCCAGGACCCTGGGATCATGACCTGCACCGAAGGCAGATGCTTAATGACTGAGCCACCCAGGCGCCCCACAATAAAGCTATTTAAAAAAAAAAGATAAAATGTTTTTGGTTCCTTTCTTTCTCCAAAACCTGAGCTAAACCTGTTGTCTGCCTTCAAAATCCATGCTCTGTCTAATCATTTCTCCCACCCCCAGCCTGTCACCTCTTACCTGGGATATGAAACAGCCCCTCCCTGAGCTCCATGCCCTCCCCTCCTCTGCACACGCTCCAATGCTCCCTCCTCCACACAGGCTTGCTCTTCGGGGAGCAATCGCTCCAGGCCTCCTGCCCCCCTGTGCTCACTGCTTTCTGCAGGGAACACTCTCCCCACACAGCCGCCTGGCGCTCCCCTCTCCTCCCCTAAGACTTGGCTCCTTGTCACCTTCCTGGCAAGGTCTTCTCCTGCCACACCTGGTGACACTGTCTCCCGACTAGCCTTCCTCCTCCCCAACATAGTCTTCTTCTCCACTGCACCTAAAATAGTCCAATAAACTAAATAACTTACTTATTTGGTTTCCTCATCAGAGATTTTGTATCCCAGCACCTTGGACAGCTATTGGATGGGTGGGTGGGTGGGTGCATGGGTGGGTGGGTGGATGGATGGTGGTGGCAAAATATAAGGCCTTCCCTCCACTCGGTGGCAGAGACTTCCAAAAGGGAGGAGATTCGAGACTGGGATTCAGAACCAGAGAAGTACCCATGGGTCAAGTGATTTAACCTGCCCAAGCCTATTTTTTTGTGATCAGAGGGTCACAGGAGTCTGCTCAGAAGGTTGCTGTGATAACCATGAACTGGATTCCTGAAGTGAAGACCCTCCCCCTTAAACACAAGGCATCTAATTAGAGGGGGATATGGGCAGGCATGAAGAGAGAACTCGCCTCATGGCAACAGTCTCAGCGGTGGGCAGGGATGGGGACCCTAGGAGCTCTTTGAGGGGTAGGGCATTTGGGGTCAGTCGTTGCAGGAGCCAAGGCAAGTGATCAGGAAGATGGGACAAGCCAGGCAGAGGAGAGCGAGGAATGCCAGGCTAGGAACCCCGACGGCATTCACCAGTAAGCTTTTCTAGAAAGGCCAGCAGACCCTGGAGACATGTCCCCATCCCTGCTCTCCTCCAGAACCACCATGACAAACCACAGAAAGGGAAACAGAGCTATAGCCACCAGCTTCTAGAGCTGCCTCTGGCCTGGGGATCCCTAAGTCTGTTGTGAGGAGACCCAGATACCCGCCCTTTTAGCTGAGTGCTCCTGCGCTGGAGAGAAGGAAGCAGAAAGGCAGACATGCCGGGATGACATGACACCAGCAGTGGACACACCCAGAAGTTCTCTTTCCAAGGGGCTAGGCCCTCAGAGGATGGGGAGGCACCTCCGTGTCCTGCTCACTCTCCCGCTGCAGCTGGGACCGGGGACTCTGAGGGGCTGGGCACAGGTACTCACACAGGAGAGCTGGGCCTAACTCTGCCAGGCCTGAGTCGCTGGCTTCTTGGCCTGCGGCTCTCTCCATCACATAACCAGCCAAGAACCAGAGCCCCTGGTCCCCAGACCAGGACTACTCCAACTGGCTCTGTATCTGAGCACACCCAACAGGGAGCTGGAGAACTGCCCCCACCAGCCTCCCCAGCACCAGCGCTAGGCTGGATGGCCTCCTGGAACTTCCTGCCCCCGGCCAGTTGTCCATCCACCCATTCAACACGCTTGGGCTGGGTGTGTCAGCAGAGCTCCAAGCTGCTGGGGCAATTGCGTGGGCCGTGAGGCCACAGGGAGGACCAGGGAAACAGGTGCCATTTGTGCCCAGCAGAGGACCACCAGCCAGGAGACAGACGGGAACTACATGTTCAGAGCCAGCAACCGCTCAACTGTCGAGTCCGAGGCTAAGGAGCCAGAGAGGTTGAAGAGTGCCCCTTCCCCCCAATTCACATCCAGCAGGAACCTTGGAAGGGGACATTATTTGGAAATAGGGTCTGTGCAGATGTAATTAAGATGAGGCCATATTGCATTAGGATGGACCCTTAGTCCAGTGACTGGTGTCCTTACAAGAAGAGGAGAGGACACACGGAGACATAGAGAAGAGACCATGAGGACACAGAGGCAGAGCCTGGAGAGATGTATCTACAAGGCAAAGAACACCGAGGACTGCCTGAATCTACCAGAAGCTGGAGGAGGCAGGAAGGATCCTCCTATGGAGCCTTCAAAGGGGGCAGGGTCCTGCCAACACCTCCGTGTTTAACTTCCGGCCTCCAGAACTATGAGAGGTTAAATTTCTGTTGTTTGAAGCCACCCAGTTTGTGGTTGTTTGTTACGGCGGCCCCAGGAAAATAACATAGGGACAGCACTGAAGCCTGGCCCCACAAGATCTTCCCGACCCCTCTCCCACTAAGCTGCTGGTGCTCCCACCAGCCCCGTGGCCCCGGGCCATGTCCCACCTGCTCCCCTTCTCTGCACACTCAGGCTACTTATTTTTAGCCCCTGATTACATCTGCCTTATATGGTTCCCTACGCCTGTCATGAGCGGGGATTCTCTCCCCTCCTGATTCATAAGCTCTTTGAGGACAGAGAATCTGAAGGATATTAACAGCCCTGAGAAGGGGCAGAGATATGGATGGATTCCCTTGATTGTTCATGTTTCATGATATTTGAGGAAACCCGTGGCAGATGTCAAGCCAATGGAATAGCAGCGACAGCCTATAATTACTGCCATAGTCCTTCCAACCTTAAAAAGTATCTGATATCAAAAACATGTTAAGCATCTCATAGCCATGTTTAAAATTTAGTCACATAACAACCCCATGCTGTAAATAGGGCAAGTATTATTATCCCGCTTTATGGGCAAAAAAACAGGTGCAAAATGGGAAGGGGCTTGGTGGTGAATTTGTGGCAAAGCCGGTGCTTGCTCTGCACTCGGTTCCTGTGGGTTTGCGGGGCTCCACCCCCCGCCCCCACAGGCTGTCTATCCTGCAACCCAGGTGGGCGGCCTCAGGTGACAGGGCTCCAGATGAAGAGGCTGCTGGCCTAACTACCAATTCAGGAAGGAAACTGAGGCAGGAAAAGTCAGGAGAAAGGTGGATTTGCCCCTGGGCTTCTATCCTTGTCACGGCCCGTACCCAGACCCATGGCAAGGGCTATGACCCTTCTCCAATCTTTCCAGACCCCTTCCTGGTGTCTTGACCTCCTGGGATAAGCTAGAGAAATAAGTGGTCTTCTACCAGCTGACATAAAGGGTAGGAGGAAATGCAGGGACAAAACAAGAGAAGCCCCTCTGGTGGGCACAGATGCACAGGGCAGGCAGCAATGGGACCAGGTGCCCTCAGAGGCACAGTTTCCAAGGCAATGGCTTTGTCAAGTCTGTACCTATTGCCATCTAGGGAAAATTCTATGGGGACAACTGGGCTGGCCAAGGTCCTAACCGAATGGCCACTTGGAAGAGGACCAGGGGCCCAGTTCTGGCAGTGAGCTGTTTGGGGGAGGGAGCAGGGAGGGGGCTCCCAAACCCCAGGGCTCTCCCCTGGCCTGGTTCTGGGCTGAGCTCCCAATACAACCCACTTCCTACGGGCCCAGAACTCCAGGCCAGACTTTGCCTGCACCTGTTTGAGCTCAGAATGCAGTTGCTGCTCTAGAAGGATCCAAAAATATCTGAGAGGGAGAAGGGGAGGGGCTAGGGTATGCTGAGGGCCCAGAGAGAGCCACCTGGCTTAGCATTCCAGACCCTCTGCCCACCAAGGTGTCTGATCCCCCCAACAGGAGCCCCACAGCCACGCCAGAGCTGGGCTCCTCCCACCCTTGCCAGCGCAATGCTCCGAGTGTCCCCACTCCTGGTTCTGATCACCTTCCTCCTCTGCCTGCACAAGTCGTCTCATTCATCTGACACTGTTTAGTGCTTTCTACGAACCACACGAACCAAGCACCATGCTAGGCGCTGATGCAGAGACAAGCAAGTTAAATAAACGCACAGCCCCTGTCCTCTTGGAGGTGACGGTCCAGTGACTGTCCCCTTTCTCCCAGTCCAGCTGAAACCCTGCCCCTCTGTGAGGCCGACCTTCCAGCCCTCCTCTGAACTCCAACCAGAGCTGCCGGGGGAGCAGGGGGTAGTTACATTTTCTCTCCCTGGGTGTCATTGCCCCAAATAGAAGTCAGCTCCTGGGGGCAGAGACACGGCCCATTCCTGTCTGAGCAGTGTGGCTAGCCAGGGCCTCGGGGCTGGAAAGTTGACTTTTCAGATGGGGTCCCTATTGGCCCACCTTTCCCACCTCTCTCTAGTGTGTTCCTCCTCTCAGTTGCTGCTGCGTGCCCCACATCTTTTTTGTTTAAGTTTTTGTTTTCAATCACACTTTGTTCACATGGAGTTCTATTAGTTTCCAGCACACAATACAGTGATCCTACACTTCCACACATCACCCGGTGCTCATCGCGACAGGTGCATTCCTTCATCCCCATCACCTGCTTCACCCCACCTCCCCACACACACACACTTCTCCCCCCCAGTACCACCAGTTTATTCTGTAGAGTTAAGAGTCTGTGTCTTGCTTTGTCTTTCTCTTATTTTTCCCTTTGCTCATTTGTTTTGTTTCTTAAATTCCACATATGAATGAAATCATATGGTATTTGTTTTTCTCTGGCTGACTTATTTCTCCTAGCATAATACCCTCTAGCTCCATCCATGTCGTTGCAAATGGCAAGATTCCATTCTTTTTTATGGATGAAAAATATTCCATTGTGTGTGTATATATATATAATACTTTATGAATTCACCTACCGATGGACACTTGGGCGGCTTCCATACCTTGGCTACTGCAGATAATGCTGCCGTAAACATCAGGGAGCATGTATCCCTCTGACTTCTCATATTTGTATTCTCCGGGTGAATACCCAGTAGTGTGATTGCTGGGTCATAAGCCAGTTGCATTCTTACATCACTTGCTGACCACATACTGACCCTCACCCTTAATCATGAATTCATTCTGTTCCCAACCCAGGGTGGGCTCCCCAGGGCGGGCCCCGTCTCCCCTTCTTCCAGGACTCTGCACTGGGACCTTCTTCTCCCCAGGGCTCACCACGCAGCCCACACCCACTCTGTGCCCTGTAGCATTCGGAGTTGTCAGAGAACCAGAGGGTCAGTGCTGTCAAGGTTGTAAAAGACAAAGACCCCCAGGGGGAGGGTCCACCTAGCATGGAAGGAAAAAAGCCTTTTCTCACTGCATAACACCCTTGCTATGAAGCTGGGGGGCCTGCCTCAGCAAGGCCAACATTCCACCCGAAATCCTTCTGGGCCCCAGGATTTGGAGCAGAAGGAGCAGCACTATGTTTTTGTGTGGCTCTGATGACATGGTTCCAGGGAAGACAGGCTCCTAGGATGGCACCAGGCAGGAGCTGTCCAAAGGCACCATGGTCTCCTGGTCTTCAGAATTGGGCCGCTGGGCACGCCTGCCCCCTGGGCAGCATGGGGCAGCCTCTTCTCCACACAGCTGGGGAAGAGCTTGAGGCTCCCAGAGAGGAGGCTCTTGCAAGGCCTGGCTGGGGTATGAACAGCTGACCTCCTAAAAGCTCCGCACTCTCAAACGCAGTAACAGGTTCTGCTGCCCAAACCCCCCACTCTGAGACCAGGCCACTCCGGAAAGGCTGCTTGGGAGCCCTCTGTGAGGAAGGATGAGGAAGTGACAAGCATGGACAGGTCCCTGTCTGGGACCTTGACTCTGAACGAAACCACCTTCAGGGCTGGAGAGGGATGTGGCTGAAACCAAAGGGGACAGGACTTCCCTGATCCCAAAGTGAGCCCTACTGCTGGGCGTGGCAAAGTCCTCCCGGCCAGGAAAACACCCCAGAGGGAACCTGAGCCTGGACCTGTCTCTGTTGCACAAGAGTGAGAACCCAGGCTGTCATCTGGGGAACTCACTGCGAACCTCTGAGCCAGCTCCCACTAAGTCACTGAACTCGACAGAGTCCAAACACAGAGCTTTTCCCATCGCAGGCCCAGGAACAGTTGCTGAATGGACACCTTAGATGGTGGAGCTTGGGGTCGGACTTAGCCCTGGCTGGAGGGGGCCAGCCTACCAGGGGCCAACATTCACTGAACAAAAAGGCCGGTTCACTGACTTGGTCTCTGGGCTCTGCCTGGTTTTCCTCCAGCACCAGAGACCAGGCTCTGGTCTTGGTCCTGCTGTTCCATACCAGGCAACTTGGGGCAAACGGCCTTCTCTTCCACCTCATAGTCTGGTTCCTTTCCCCCACCCCACCCCGTGGCCCTCCGGGCCCTCCACAGCAATCCCAGGGAAGCCAGAGAACCCTCTCCACTACTTGAGCTCCCTCACTGGCACTGCGGCTCCTGAGTTTACCTCGAAGGTGCAGTGTCCCTCTGAGGTCTCCACGATGCCATGGCATGTGTCCCCTAAGACCTGCCCCACCCTCCCCACACGTCTGACACCTTGGTCACTTCCTCTCCACCTTGTGTCCGTCAGTCCTTCTCTCTCCTAGGACCCTCACCATCGGCCCATAAACACACTTAGTCTTTCTAGTGTTGAAAAGGAAATTTGCTACCTCTGCAAACCCCCTACCCATGTACTCCTTCACGTCCTCTATCCCTCCTGAGCCCACTGCCCAAACGTGTCACCTCTGCGCCCTCCCTAGATGCGCATAAGGCCTTCGTGCTCTGCCAGCGACCTCAGGGATATCAAAGCCGACACCTCATCTTCTTTGGCATCTCTGTGGCATTCCATCCCATCGACCACCCTTCCAGAATGCACCCTTCCCTTGCCCTCCAGGTCACGGCCTCTTCCAGGGTCCCTTTCCCTCTTCCTGAAATCCACTCATCTTCCTCTTCCCATTGCTTGAATCTGGTGCTGCCCACCGACCATCCCTGAATCTCTTTCTCTGCAACAGCTTCCTTCATGACCTCACAGCCTCATCTTCACCCAACTGGATCTCATCTCTGGATCTCCAGACCTTTCAATCCTCCAATATCCAGTATCTCCATCCAGATGTCCCCCTAGCACCCCAAATTCATAACAGCCCAAACTGAACTTTTAAAATCTGTTCTTTTATGTTCCTGGTCTTTTTTTTTTCTTTCTTGGAGTCAAGATCAGGCCTCCAGCAACCTACTCTAGACCCGTGAGGGCTCCCTTTGGCCGGAGACCAGGAGACTCCACCCCAGCTATCTGCTGGGTCTGTCCCTCCTCTCTGCCCCCCTCTCTCTCATGGAGTTCACACCTTCTAAGCTGCATTTCTGACAGGTCCTCCAATCAGCCTCCCTCATCCTCCCCCTCCTCACAAACACCTGCTGGAGGGACGCTTCCCAAGCCCTCAGTGGTTGCCCACCGCCCAACAGCACAAAGCCATCTTGGCAGCCAAGTACGCGAGGCCCTTCACGGTTGGCCCAAACCAGCCTTCCAAGTAGCTTCCCCACAATCCCCACTTCACTCTGCCTGCCCTTCTCCCTGCTCAGTTCTCACCAGAGCCCTAACCTTTCCTGATGGCATGCGTTCGCTCATCCTGTCCCTTGTGTAGAATTCTCCTCCTTCCATCATTCCGTGTCTGAATGCTACTTTCTTCAAGGCCCATCTCAAATATCCCATCATCTGTAAAACATTTCCTGATCCACTCAGTTAAAAATAATCTCCCCAGGCGCTTCCACCCCACCTCACTCCACCTGGACCTCCCTCATGACGCTCACGTGTGTCCTGCTTGTGTGCGTGCAGGTACAAGATGGGAGATGCCCTATCTCCCAAACTGGAGGTAAGCATGCCAAGGACACAATGCCTGTCTGGATCCCTCCAGTACCACGCCTAAACAATAGGAGGCATGCCATAAATCTGGAATGATTAATACATGGTGAGATGTGGTAAGGTATTTGAATGAAAGGCTTTGCACTCAAGCAATATATAAATGTGAGGGGTTGTGCAGGGAGTGGGTCTGGATTTGGATTTGGAGCAGGGAAGCTGTCCAGGAGAGAGCTTAACCCAGCATCCCACAGCAGCAGACCCCACATCTGTCCACCGTTCCACCGCACCCTCATTCCAGGCCAGGAGGTACAGCACCCAGACCCTGCCCTTGGCCCTGAGACCCTACCAAAGAGGAAGAGCCATCTTCCTCCTGTGTCCATAGTGATTAGGCTCCTTCTCAGCCCACCACACCTAAATGAGCACCAAATGGCCAGGGGGAATGCAGCTGGCCTCATCTGACCTCCTTCTGCGGGAGCAAGGAGACCTGAATTCCAGCTCTGGCCCTGCCTTGAACTAGCTGTGTGACTTTCACTGTCACACCCAGATGTGGGACAAAACCAGCATTTCCCAAACTCTGGTTCCACAGACCACCAAGCAAGGTGTGCACATCCACTGGCAAATCCCAGTGTGTGCTTTGTAGACTCGTCGTGGGAAATGGCAGACGAGATGCTCCCTACGGTCTCCTCCAGCTGCACTGAGCCAGGAGTCAGGGAAATCACTGGAGATACAGTTTGCAGGGGGGCTGCCAAGGCTTCTGCTTTCTCCCCAAGGCCTCTGAGGTTATGACCTTCTCTCAGTAGCCCTCCCCATGGTTGGTCAGGCAGGAGGGCTGTCCTGTTGAGGGAACATGAATACAGAATCTTTCTGGATATAACCAGCCTGGGGTGGGGGAGGAGGGGCCACAGAGGGGTTCCGGACAGACCCTCATCTCTCATGGAGGGGCAGGTCAGCCCCAGCATGCACCAACTTCTCCCCATTGGGATGGCAGGGTGGAGGCCAGAGCAGGCTGCAAGTCTGCAAACCAGGGCTGGGCTGGGCTGGAGGAGGAGGAACAGACTCAGAATCCCCATCTGCCCCACTCTCTGCATCAAGCAGGCAACAGGAAGCAAAGATGTCCTGAATCCAGCCTAACAAACACGACTGGCTTGAACCCAATTGCTTCCTCAGCACTGGCCACTCCCCACCCCACCCCACCCTCGGAGGAGTCAAAGGATCAGAGGCATCCGGAGCAAAGCTCCCCACAGGCGGCCTCTCCAAAGGCAGAGGGAGTTAGGTGGCCGTCAGAGAGAGAGAGGCTGAGGGGAGGACAGGAACTCCAGGGTGGGGGGCGACGGCCCTGGGCTACACATGCCTGTCCATAATTCACTGCCTAACCTTGTGTGCATCTCTCATGCCTCTGGCTTTCGCTCTTACCTCGAAAATGAGGGGACACAGTAAAGCAACTCAAGGCTGCTTTACCCTGTCCTTGAGCAGGCCTGTCACCAGGCCAAGTCCCCAAGACAAAGACGGGGACCCCAGTGGTCACAAATGCCTGGGGGCCATGGATGGGGGGTGAAGACTCGAGGGGTGCCTGGTGATTGGGCCCTGGCAGCTCCAGCTGTTCCTAGCATCAGGAGAGGCCCTTGGTCCCTTGCTTGGGAACAAGAAGAGGCTGCCATGGTCCAGGAGACCATAGAAGCAACATGAGGACCAAAGAAGGAAGGGCAGCTTCACCCCCCAGGAAGCAGGAAGTATGTTAGAGAGAAAGCCCGCCTGCAATGCAGTGAGGGGCAAGCGTCCAGGGGTAGGGTGGGAAGTTCAGGAGCAAAGCTGCTGCCCTTGGGCAAGATGGCATTTACTTAGTGGCACAATTCTAGGGGGAAATCAACCAGTAGGAAGGACCGTCATCATAGGGGCAGGGAGAAGCCACCCTCATGGTTGGAACCTCCCAGTGGGTGCAAGAGAGAGCTGTCTTTTAGGGTAACCTACAGCTGGAAGAGTGATAAAATCCACCCCTGGGTGGAGAGAGGGCACCCTGCACGTGGTGAGCAAGGCCTCCCTGGAAGCCAGGCCAGGGGCACACTGCAGAGTCCAGGAAGGAAAGAGCGTGCACAGAGAGGATCTTCACACAAAG